CACCCCCTGTTCTTTCGGGTAAGGCTCGGCGAGGACAGTGGTTCGGTTTTTTTTTTTTTTTTTTTTTGCCGTGTTACTGAATAATGCCTAATAGCGATTCTTCGCACTGACCTAAAACGACTTAGGTAATTCAAGCAACAGCGTTAAATGGCCATTTTTTTCTAGCTGATCGGCAAGGAGAATGGGGAGTATTTTCTTTTATAAACATTTAAAATATTCCCCATTGTTCCAACATGATGTAAGTCATGTATAGAAAAAATAATTTAAAAAATTTTTTTCCTAGCAGAATCGGAAAATATTGTTAAGAAGATCAGCTGCAATAACGAGACTAACAATATCTTACATTTTTTGACTTCATATAGGCATCGAAATGGGGTTTTTTTTGAGAACACCCTTTCTGTATGAAACAGTTTGTAAGAACTAAAGACAGATTTCTGCAAGTGCAACTCAAAAAAAAAAACCTACAGAAAATCGGTTTATACATTTAAGTTTTTCTTAATTAGCTCTATTAATGTGTGCCTCGGGGGCTTTGGGGCATTTCCTATCTATGTATGTATTGATGGTAAGTATCTAAAACCGGTGTTAGGTTAAAATCAGCCCGCACTGAAAGAAAAGAGATTACTGAGAATGAGAGAAAATCCCAAAGCAAGCTTCTTATCGTATGTTACATGCCATCTTTGTAGATTTTAATGTCAGTAGAGTTGTAATTTTTTTTCGCCCTGTTTCTGAGAGAAAAAAAAAAGCCCTTTCAAATCTTGTGACATATCGCATGACTTTTTCAGTGATGTGAGATGTGTAAAAATAGAAAAAATAGGAAATGTTTTCATTTCTTATTAAGAAGCTGCAGAGTAATTTTTCTTATCTCTCCCACTCAGATTTTACCTAAAGACAAATAGTTCCTGCAATCCTTACACAAAGTATAGGAAACGATCTCTTTTAATAAGTTAACATTTTGCAGAAACTCTCTGTATTTTGTAACCATAACAAACTTAATTGGAAACAATTCCACGTTACAAATCCAAGAGAAGGTACATGGAATCTTTTGAGTTTGTGAAGTGAAGTTAATTTTCGGTTTCATTTGCTTCTTGATTTGTCCATTTACAGCTATTTAGTTTACAGTTATTTTGTATTTTCATAGGAAGAGTTTTTTTCTTAATCTGCCTCCGAGTTTAAAGGCATGTTTGTCAATAGCTTTATGCCACTTACACGAAAATCTGTTTTGGGCTAAGATTCCTTATCTGTGCAACTCTAGTTGAAGCTGATTTCATGGATTATTAACTACTTTAGCGGCAGAGTAAAAATATTCACGTGTGCAGTTTCCTTACACTGAAAGATTTTAGATGATATTTTCAGCTACAATTCTCAGTTGTAACTCAGTGTGATTCAGTACTTCTACTCTGTTTGCGGTTAATATTACAGATTCCTCTTCCACGATCTCGTGTAGATAATATTATGCAGCCACGTAGAATCTGGTTCCTTGTGAAACTGTTTTGTATGAACCCTCGAACCTAAAGCCCCCTCTTTAACCAGTTATTTCCCTCCCCCGCCTTGTGTACAGTGAACTATGGGATTACGAAAGTGGAAGGACAGCCTCTTCACACGGAGCTGAGCAGGCCCATGGACAATTGCAACAATCTCAGGATGTCTCCAGGGAAAGGGATGCAGGAGAAGGGGGAACTGGATGAACTCGGTGATAAGTGTGACAGCAATGTCTCCAGCAGTAAGAAGAGGAGACACAGGACAACCTTCACCAGTTTGCAGCTGGAGGAGCTGGAGAAAGTATTCCAGAAAACTCACTACCCTGATGTCTATGTCAGAGAACAGCTAGCTCTGAGAACAGAGCTCACTGAGGCCAGAGTCCAGGTAGGAACCAACCTTCAGCATTTCCATGACAAGTTGTGCATTGTAGGAACTGGGAAATGACACTCTTGGGGATTGTACAAAAGCCCATAAAGCTGAAGTAAATAGCTCGGTTTGCTTTATTTCTTTATGGATACGAGCTGTTATGCTGCCGTACTAAATAGCTTGTTATTTTTTTAAATAGCTTGTGTTGCTGTTCTAGAAACTTGTTTAAAGGATGAGAAAACAACATCAATAGTAAAGCAGTCTTGACCTCTGGTAGTCCTGTTTTACTGTCAGAATTCCAGGCAGTGAATACATCGCGTTACGTGTGAAGGTCCCATTAAGAAGACATGTTGCGTGTAGTTCAGGCTGATGACGATACAGAACTCAGCCGCAGAGGATTCTGTGTGTTTTACAGCATGAAAACTACGATCTAAAAAGCAATCAAATTCCTTCTTTAGATCCAAAGAGTATGCAGTGAAACTGCACATACATAGGTGTGTATAAACATATTTATGTGTGTGTGCCTGTGTAGAGCAAGGGTGCAATCCATTCATCTCTGTTGGATGGAATGAGCTTAAAACTCACACAGTTGGGAAGTACATTTGCTAGTTTTTAAACTTGCACAACCAACGGATAACGTTATTCTAATTTTTGGAACGAAACCTACTGTTGACCACATAATGCAGTATTTGAGTATCGTAACTGCGTACGAAGTTGATTCATTCAGTATGTGCTCGTAGAGTAATCTCAACAATATTTATGGCTTTGGGTGTCTAATGGTGAGAAAAGTAGCTAAATATCCAGAAAATGCAGCCCTTCCCCTGTTCAGACATCTTCCTTAGAAAAGGGCGTGAGCTGCATTTTGTGAGTTTATTCTGTTTTTAGAGATCTTCCCCATTCTGGTAATATAGCAGTCCTGTCAATTCTTACAGACTGGGATTAATTTTTTTAATTTAATGACTTGAATATGATAACAACTTCACAACTTGTAATTAAACACATACTCACACATGCATATAAAGAAAGAGACGTCAGTGTACATGCACACAACTGAAATTAAACCGGGATCGCTTTCAGAAATGAACTCAGCTAACTAGTTTTATAAAGAAGTGTTCTTTTCTTGTCTGTTCAAACAGACAGCAAATTCACCATTGTCATCAGAAAATAGAGCCCAAAATCGTGTGTCAGTTTTAACACTTCAGGCTCTCCTTCTGAATTTGGTACAGTTTTCTAAGTATGTCTTCCATTCATTAAGTTTAGTCTTGACTTTAAAAAAAAGCTTGCATAATGTTAAAATACTGTTCCTAAAATTGCATGATTCTGCAATAATACAACTACTCCAAGAATAAATTAATATTCAGAACAGGGAGGGGAGAATTGTGCTAAAATGTGTCAACTGACTTTTTATCCCATTTTTTTTCTAAGTTTTAGAAGCTTCATATGGTAAAAGTATTAAAAATAAGAGACCAAATGTGAAAACATATATGTCTTCACCAGACTTTCACAGAATATCTATTTCTATTTTATTTAAACATGTTCTCCCCTTTCTTAAAGGATAACTGATCTTTGCATTTCTCATATGCTAAATATGAAAGGAAATGGTGATCATTTTTATCCAGAGTAGCAACAGTATTCCATCACAAGATTAAGCAATTTAAAAGGCCTTACATCATTAGAGGCAAGCATCTGGCAATGCAAGGATAACAAGCAGCAGATTTTTACATTGCTTTGTGGAGGCAAATGGTTACTTTATCTCTGCCAAGAGTCAGTCTCTAGTAAAATGATGTAAACAGAAACATTTTGGGGGATTGTCAAAGGAAAAAAATGTGTGCTTTTTTTCTTGTTTAGTTACTATAAATTCAAGCAAATTGTTTGATTTAGTTTAGCAGAGTGATCAGCTGGATACCTTACCCACATTTCCCTTCACCGCCATTTCATCAAGATCCAATTTAATATTTGTCCTGCATACATGCAGAGAGAGCCAACCTGAACCTAATTTATCTAAGTTGTTCTCTTTCCTGCTGCATGTCAGTGAAGTAATTGGCACCCATTTTAAGGAGATTGTCAAGGTCTTTTTTCAATGAAAGAGCCTCATTACTAAATTCCCTTAGCGTGTTCTTGATGCCTCCTGTGGAGACAGGACAATTTTTTTTTTCCTTTGCTTTTCTTTTTGCTGAGCCTCAGGCATCATAAATAATACAAATTTACCAACAAGGTCCATAACAATATATACTCAGCAGTTACATGCATGGGCTTTGCTTTGATTGCCAAGTACATTTTAAAAGATTGCACATACTAAATTTGCAAGAAGTCCTTGGGAATTAAAATGAGCAAAATTATGCCCTGGTTGCTTAAGCAGCATCAAAGGACAGTTGAGTTCTCCAAAGATCAAGGCAAAAACTGAATTCTAAACCAAACAGTGTTATTTTAAATATCCCACCATCAGGGATCAGAAAATATCCCTCAAAATGAGATGCACAGGCAGTGTGTCTCTCTCTCTCTCTAGATAAAAAAATCTATTCAGGTATGTGTCTGTCCAAAGGGATTCATGATTCATTTAGCAGGAAGACTAACCAATGACATTATTTTCATTAAAAAAAAAAAAAAAGGTGCTGTTAGTAGCATGAGTTCTTTAAAAAGAGTCAGAAGAATGAGTTTGCTCATAGCTGAACAATAAAGACTTAGTTGGGTAATATTACTTTCATAAAGGAACAGTTGCTTTTCTTAACGATCCCTTTAATTCATCAAGGTAAGTCTTAGCCAGTCCAGACTAAACTGTTTGAAAGAAAAAAACTTTTCTGAAGACCACAGTACAATGACAGATATCAGTCACAGTGAAGAATATGCATATAATAGGTTTTGAGATAACACCCAACAGTCAGAATATTACAGAACAGTCCAAAGTTTACTTAAGTATAAAGAAAATACCTTTTAATTGACAAGAAGGCATTATTTCAGGTCTAAATTATTTCATGGTCTAAAAGTAAAGTGCCATTTTTTAATTTTCCATTGTCAGAAACACAGATATTTCCTAACATAAATGTGAAAAAATGTTGCAACAGTTTTAAAACTGTCTGTGATCTCATGATTTTTTATTACCTTCCTGTCCTATTAGCCTTCCTTATAGAAACTTTTTCTGCAGCACAGACTACTGTCCTGGTGCCAGCTTCTCCTGCCTTTTCATTACTGAACTTGATAAAGATTATGCATATTTCTAGGAGGAAGATCATATCTAGTCAAATCAAGTCAGTAGGCATGTGAGATCAAGAGAAAGTTTCTTTACAATTTGACTTGCTGCTGCTTGGTGATTTTCCTCTACAGAACTGAACTCTGTCAAAGTTAGGACTGCTTGACAGATTGATCTTTCCTCTGCTTTTTTTTTTTTTTTAGGCACTAGAAAGGAAACAGACTATACTGTTAAATAGCCAGAAATAACTTAAGCAGGTCTGACATTGAGTACATTGAAACTGCAAGAAATTCATCCTCAGGTGGAGAACTTCGTTTTCTTAGATAAATAGACATTTTCAAAGCTACTGTCCAAAATCTCTTGACTTTTCCCTAAGACTTTTTGCACAGTACGTAACTGAGTTTATCCTGATGACTGTTTCCTCATTTATTATAGGTTTGGTTCCAGAATCGAAGAGCAAAATGGAGGAAAAGAGAACGTTATGGTCAGATCCAGCAAGCTAAGAGCCATTTTGCTGCCACCTATGACATATCTGTTCTTCCAAGGACTGACAGCTACCCTCAGGTATGGTAAAGACCGAGTAGTACTTTGGTTCTACACTTACATTCTCTTCCATCCTTAGGCATACACTTGCACAGAAGATGCATGAAGACTTTCGTGTGTTTAGCTTTCTGTGTTCTTTAGACTTGTCAACAGGACCTGCCACCGTGAACAACAGTTCTGACATCCAGTACGAATAATTAATGTTTAAAATAGAAGTATTTTTTAAAGAACAATCTTAGGAGCTGCGGAGTTTTGCATAAGTTATGTACTGAGAATGGCTGGCAATATGGTTGTACAGTGAAGTCTTTTCTGCACATACAGTTACGTGGGGCCTTGAATCACTTCTAGGTCCATACACAAATTCTGGATGACTTCTAGACATATTGAGATTGACAGGAATGATGTAATTTTATGTAATAAGATCAGAATTTCACTTCTGGGATATTTTACATTTGCAGGCACAGATGTCTTAACTCTGTTCTTGTATGCTTTGGTAAGATGAGGCATAAACTATGATTTCTAGGCAACTTCCTTTTGACGTATTAAACATGCACAATTTCTCTACAGACCTCAATAGACCATTAAATACAACAAGTCTTCTACTAGCATGAAAATATATTATGGCCACATATGCAATCAGAATTTAATGTATATAGCTGGGAGAGGGAGGTAGGAGCTCTTTCAGACAGTAGTAGTTAGTTTAATATTTTTTTTTGTTTTTCAGTTCTCTGTTAGCATATAGTAAGGTATTACTGTGTAGTAAGTTCAGAATCTTCTGTTTCTGTTCTCCAGTCCTTTGGGTTACTGCATTGCCTCACTCTCTGCTATTGTTTTTCTTCTAGCTTGTTTTAGTACATTGAATATTTTTATTCTGAAGCCATTGTTTTTCATGTCTCTAGCTTCCTATTGCTTTTACCACATAATTTAAAAAAGAAAAAAAAACCACCATACAAAGCAAGAAATCTTGTATAGGTCCCTGCAGTAGAGTCCTTTCACTGCTGCTGTCCTAGTGCTCTTCTAGTTCATTAGGCAGCAGGGTCTCTGCCAGCCTTAGGAATATACTCATAATCTATGTGGACTTGCTTTGGTCATGCTCTACACTGGCTGCATGCGATTAGCTTTGAGCCTTGGGCCCATGTGTCATCTACCCATCTTAAAGTGCTTTACCTCTGAGGAGGTTGCATGTTACTAGGTTTGGTGTCTGGGCCAGAGCTGGTTGGTGTTCCAGCAGCTCAGAACATGGGCACAACCATTTCAGATCTGGTGGTACTTATCAGTCTGCCTGTTTTAATTTTATAATGTAATAGTGCATTATCCCAAATTACATCAGAAACCACTGCATGGTATACTCTGTGTTTAAGTAGGAGGACACAATACTTGTTTGAGACCTTCCTAGGTGGAGGTGTGCAAAAAGACCTTAGCACTCTTAGGTAGATTCACAGAGACATAGATGCACAGTCACTCACGGATCTCACTCAAGGTGTTCAAGTATCTTTCTGACTTACCTATAGCATCACACAGACGATACAAGGAATAGTACTTAAGCTTTGGCTTTTGTATCCCTGACTCAGTTCTCTAGACTAAATTTTGTGTCTCAAAGCTCATCTTGTATTTTTAGTAGAACTTCATTTACAAATTTGCCCAACTGACAGAAGTTTCATTATCATAAGATAATGGAAAAATGCAAGTAATTGGTAAGCACTTAAAATGTTTTTTCTAAAACAAATATTTTTAAAAAAGAAACACTTTTTAATTATATGAGAATATCATCCATAAAAATCTAAACCCTATGCAATATCTATTTTGTACTTTCAGGTTGTTAAAAAGATGAGTGAATTCACTGTATTTCTATTTATGAATTAGTTAAAAAACGTCTTTTCTAAGCTGATGACACAATGAAGTTTCAGCCTGGCAAAACTTTCTATCATTAATTTATAAGTTCTTAAAAAAAGGAGATTGAAGTGGAAATGTCAGTACCATAACCTTAAACAAAGCAGTTCTAAAATGTGTAGAAATATAGAATGTATACTCATTCATAAACATAAACATAAACATAAACATAAACATAAACATAAACATAAATATGTAGTACCCTCCTACAACCACTAAGCACAAACTCATAACTGAGCCTGGTCACCTGCATGAGAAAGTTGTGTTGTGCTGTACTGTACTTCAAGAACAGGACCAAGGGGTTAATGAAGGTGTGGGTCTACTTTACATTGGTTATTTCAGTTGAGTGTTTGCATGCACAGTCTGGCTGCATGATAAAAAGAAGGTATTTTACTCCTCAGCAAAGAAGGTGGATACTTTGCTGTGTACTGGAATATGAGTAGGTAACCATGCAATTATCACAGAACAGTTAATGCGAGTTCACGTTCTTGCTAGCCTGGTGGTAATTCTTCATACTTTCACATTCTTAAACCCTCACCTTAAGTAAAACCATGTGTGTATCATATACATAACATTTCCAGTGAGAATGCTTGATAATACAAATCCATATTAAAAACACAATGACCACTAACATAACTACATTAAAATCTTTTGAACAAAATCCCATTTATAAGTGCCTCACCTATGGAAAATAAATATAGAGTACATGACTTGCTATAAACTCATTAATCTATTCTACAGTTTAAGTGGAAAGAGATATTTAAAACTGTGATCTGCATGTTTGGTTTTAGTGTTATAGATTGATAACCCAGAACATTCTGTTATTTCAGTACAGTTAGTGCAAGAAAGGAAATGACATGTCATTTTTTGTCTTTTTTTTCCTTTTTATTTTTCCTTTTTTCCCTTTCTTTTTTTTCTGTGTACAAGCACACTTGCTGTGACGCTAACAATACTAAATATTAGACAGTCTATGCCATACTTTCAAGTATCTTTTTTCTTGGGGATTGTGGAACACAGATCGCTAGAGCTTGTTTATGAAGCCTTTATATTAACAAACTCTCTGTTGCTGGCAAAAAATATAGGATGATGTTGAAAAAACATAAAATCAAACAGAGATATTTACTGGCATGTGGAACAGGAACAAATGTGAATTTCTGGTGTGAATTATATGAAATTGCAGTTTGAAGATTTCCATTTTGAGCCCCACCATGGATATGTTCCCCAAACAGACATCCCACTTGCATTCCAGCAGAAACATCAGTCTCTTCTGCAGTCAACAGAGGGTGTGGAGACCCCTGCTTAGTCTCTTCACCAATTATCTTCATCAAGTACAAATTAAGAACATGATGCTGCTATGCCTTTTGTGACAATATAAACCTGAACAGTTTTCCTGTGAGGAAATGATCTTTTCAACTTATTTCAGAGAGAAGGTTGGCTCTGAATCAGAGGATGGCTGAGGTTGGAACGGACCTTTGGAGGAGGTCTCATCCAACCCCCATTTCTATAATCCAGTTATATATATATAATCTAATATATATAAAAAATCTAATTTTGCTATTAAATTACACATCTTTATATTCAAAATAGTAATAAACAATTTAGAGTTTTTTTTCTATACCATAACTGCTTTGCTAATTCAGTCTAACCTTATTTATTTGTACAGTTTGTTGACTTAGGTATTACTTATTGTGCAAAATAGTTGCTTAGTAGGCTGCCAAGAAGTTAATATCTCCTAAACTGTGCAAAATCTGCGCACATAGATCTTCCATTAATTATACTGGGAACACCTGGATTACAGAGGAGGACAATTACTACAGTATTCCAGGATAATCATCTATTATTCACATTTTTTCTAGGCTTTAACATTAAAAATACCAAAGAGTTGTTAAGTTTTCACTCAGATGAAATATCTAACTTTTGACAACTTTATGCTGAAAATCAGATTTTTTCTAGGAAAATGTTATGTACAGTACTTTACATTCATTTTAGTAAAAGGTTTCAGTTTCATTAGTTTCAGTATTTAAGCTTCAAGTTTGTCTTGCAGATGCAACACATTGTGGTCCAAGTAATCTTAAGCGTACTCAGAAAACAAATCACTGGCTAAAACTTTTATCCTAGACACTTTGAGCCTCATTTGCCAGCAGTATTCTGCTGATGATATGAAAGCTAAGAGGCAGCATCCTAACACGAGTGTGGAAATGAGTGCAGATTCACTCCATGGAGCCCTTTAATTCAACTCATGTGAGTAAATGTTAGTGAACAAGCAGTACTTGATTTGATCGCCTAAATACAGTGCTATTTAAGTTGTCTTGGGATATCTGAGACACTGTTACAGTGCTGATGAACAGGACTTACAAGAAGCATGCATGCTTCAAAGGAGGCAGCTGAGGGTCAGGTAGATATGACACCTGTGCTTAGGAAACTTAAAGGGATTTTTATGCCAGAGATAGATTCCCTTTAAAGTTGGTGAAAATCTGGTCAATTAAGTTTTCTCTTCTCAAAGTATAAGGTATAAAATAAGTAAGATGATCTCTAAAAGTGTATTTTTCTCTCTGATGCCTGGTTATCTTAGATCTATATGTTATGTGTTGGGAGAGGAACAATAAAAACGTTGCTTAGCCTTGCTCTTCTCTTACATTATTGGTCTTCACTTGACTATTTTTGCTGTCCTATGCCTACTGAGAAGACTAACGTGACAGAGTACTTGAACGTGTCAGATTTAATTAAACAAATATTAAATTGTATCCTTGAAAAGCAGATATAAGGGGCACCGCTTCTCCCCCACCTAGTCTCTTTCCATACTTTGCATCTTTTCTTTTTGTTTGTTCTTTGAGTCTAGTTAATTTGTTGTCATTGTTCTTCTCAGTTCTTTTGAAAGGATTTATCCTGTCACGTCATTATACTTTCCCTCTTACTATCATGTGTGAAATGTGTTGTTTGCTTCTCTTATTTACTTGAAAATGTAGGCAAGAGTGGGATAGGACTGAATTTAGTCTTATTTTTGGTGGAAAAATCCAGCCTCATGCAGGTAGAAATCCCAAGGAGAAAAGCATTTCAAAGGTATGGGAACAGGAGTGATACAGAAGGTGTAGAAAGAAGGGACAACACTGAAATTTCAAAAACAGAACAAG